TGTGTAGATAGGACTATTGCAAGAGACTTGTACTCTCTCTGACACCCTTAACAGCCTTCCTTACTGCATGTTAATTTTCCTGGAGAGCTTCGGAGTAAGAGAAAAGGAATAAAAGTGGTCATATCATAAAAGACATTTGTTTTGAAAATAGACATATGGCATGAGATCAGGAGCCCTTGTTTCAAAGACCTAGATGTGGCCCTTTGGAAAATCCTAGTGTCAGGATGATGTTGGTGTCTCTGGACTAAACTTAAAAAGGACTCCTGGAGAGAGATAGTACTTGTCACAATACAATGTGATGCTGAATTTGAGAAGATGCTTAATGAAAAGGATGATATCAACAGTATTTTACAAATGAAGGTCGTTAAGCTCTCTTTATTCTGGAACCAACATATGAACCTTGGCCTTATGAAGCTTTGTTATAAAATTTAGAGTTTTCCCCCTCTGTCAGGAAAGGAGACTTGAAGTTCTGAAACTGAAATGTTAATATTGATTTATGGCTTCTTAGTAGGAGTGGTTATACGAGGGTACTTCAAACAGTTCATGGAAAGATTCATATTATCTTTTAATTCTATTTTTCCATGAACTGTTTGAAGTACCCTTGTGTGTATCTTTTTAAATACATTTGACTTTGTTATTGACCATTTCAAGGAAAGAACAGTCCTAACACACCGAAATTTAGCAACCAAGTTTTTTAATTGTCAAAGTAATCAGGTAACAAATGATGTTTTAATGAACATTTAGAGAGGCTGTACAGCATATTAGAAGAGCAGGGACTCTACAATTAGACTGCTTTGTTCGAATCCTGCCTCCCCATTTAGTACCTATGTGTGTAGTTCCTCTGCCTCATTTTTCTCAGGTGTAAGAAGTCCAATACCCGGTTTCATGAGGTTTTAAGCATTGAATCAATCTGCATAAAGGCTTAGTAGAGCATATGGGAACCATTACTATGCAGAGTAGCAATGGTGAATATCTGATCTTTTTTACTTTAACTTGAACAGCAGCAGTAGACATAATGGATAATAACAATCATTGCTTATGATGTGAGGCCACCAATTATAACTATTAAACTTATCAAATTACCAAAGTTACAATATACATTAAGTAAATCCTAGTAAAGGTTTAAGTTGATCTTTTATACTAGGGCATGTTTCATAATGGCAAGGGGGTGAAGGTCATGATAAAAAATCACCCCAATGCTCCTTTAAAATTAAGGAGGAATTCCTGGGTCTGGGTCCTACTTATCCAGTCTATGGTATGTCTGACAATCAGCACAGGTGATTCTGATGTGCACCCCTGCCTGAACTGTGTTTTTTAGGTTAAATGTAAAAGCAGTTTGGTTTTTGAAATGAAGTAATACTACCTTTAGTGGCAGTTTTATTAGCCTAACAAAGACCAGGCATCAAACCAAAACAAAATGCATTAGCTAATTATTATAACAACTTATTTTTTTAAATGTTTGTTTTTGTCACAGTGGAAGGGTGTGTGTGCGTATCTGTGTTTCTGGTGTGATGTGGCTTTAATGCTGTGTGTCTGCCTTGAAAATAGCAAGCAAGGGAAACCATCAGGTACGAGGAAAAACATAGTTTCATGATGTGTGTCTAAATTCTAAGTTTATAATTACAGGTACACCTTTTATAAGGTGAAAAATACCAGTTGTAAATTCAACCAAAAAATATGTATCTTTAAAGCTTTGACTTGGCTTTTTGCCTTAACTTGGATATTAATTGAAATATAAAAGAAGGAAGAAAGTCTTAAAGCCAACAAGGTTTTGTATTTGTTAAAATCTTTAGAGGGTTCAATAAATATCTGCTGAATTGTACAAGTATTAAGTATTTGTGTTATACTATGAAGCAATCAATTAGTATAAAATGATAATTTACAAGTTCAACAGTAAATGTAAACATTCTTTATATCTAGGATTTTTGAGTTGCAAGTTAAACTGAATTTTTACTGCAGTGGAGAGGATGAGCATAGCAGGCAAAAAAAACAGGTAATACAGTAGATTGAGCAAAATAACCCAAATAATTAAATTCCTTTATCCTATCATTTTCTAAAAAGCATATATATGTGTATAGATATGTTCTTCAGAAACAGCTAAGATGTTCAGAAACCAATATCATAGATGGGACATTCTAAGAGTTTGTTTTGGCCTAGCCAAAAAGTAAGTAGTAAAAGAAAATATAAGATGGTGTTAGATTTCCATGAGGTTTTTCAGTTGCCTTTTCTGCCTTTCAGCTTATGTTTATAAAGGTTGTTCTTTTGTGGCCTTGGGTAAAGCAGATCTGAGAATAACACTGGGTGTATGGTAGTTGACAGCTGTACTAGCTAAAAATACCAAGTTTTTTATACTTAATTCATCTTTCAGTTCCCAGGCAATAAACACTGGCAATTTGCTTCCACTACACACTTTACCAGTTCATTTTTATAAGAAACCAGTATAGACTTAAGTCACTGGAATTATTTAAATTATAATTTGTTTCCCCAGTTAATCTTTTTTAAGAGCACAGCTAAAGGAGAAATGGATATACACATTAGGAGAAAAGGTTGGCTTTTTGTTTGAAGATCTACTTTCTCAACTTGGTTATTATTTTGCTGGCTCATGATTTCCCTTTCCTAGTGAAACTGATATGCTTTTGTTTTTTCCCCTTTCAAGCCCTGTACTTACTTAGCAAGATGCACTGAATTTCTGACCAGAGAAACAAAGAATTCAGGCTTGGAGGAAACACTTGACTCCATATCCTGGGAAAACTAGAGTTGAAGCCTGAGATCTGCAGTTAGGCTAGTCTTTAATAGATGGTAATTGTCCAGTTCATTGCTCAGAAGTAGCAGGAAGGAGTAAGTATTCCTTTGGTTCTTTTGCCTGGAGTTTTTCCCTCCAAAAGCACTGTCAAGTTTAGTTGATCTAGCTTTCAGAGTAAGTATGATGAAGCTACTAATTTAGAAACAACTGACCTCCTGAATTTATATTATTTTAATATACATTTTAGAGATACCTTATGGCTTCTGTTACATTTTTACAGTGCTATTCTGTGTCCTGGTGTGAACATCTAAAATAACTACTCCAATAATTGCCCTACTAATAAAGACTTACTAAGCATTCCCCATGGTAAAGAGCTAAGAGCTTGAGGAAATGGAAAAAAATCCAAAATTACAGGGTTAGTTGGCAGTATTTTAAAAGAGCTTCATTTTAAGCCATTTCCTCTGATAGTTTGTGACTCTAAAAAGATAAAACAGAACCAAAAAGTGACATTTTCAGCCAGTACATATATTTTGAACTACACTACCTGTTTAAAAGAATCAGACATATTCCACAAGAAAACCAGCTTCCTATTAGATCTGGTACTTGGACCAGAACAATAGCTGCCAGTTTGCTTTTCTTGGCATAGTCAGAACTAAATACTAACTAGGGCACTTAATTATCATGCAGTGGTTACTATCAGTGTATAGTATGCTCAACCTCAGGTTAGTCCTTTTTTTAAAAAAAAAGACCAGATAGTCACTAAAACTGATGATACATTAATCTTATAAAGCCTTTATTTGAAGAATTCTATAGGACATCAAAATTGACTTCTTACATTATCTGCCATGGAATTTTGTTAAAATGAACCAATATTTAGAAATAGTTTTTTTCTGTAAGACCTGGAGTCAAAATAACTAAAATTTAAGATTAAGGATGAAGAAATTAAAAGCTTGCATTTATCATAGAAAGTATATCTCTTAATTTCTGTTTGGTGCTACATTATCCTTCATTTTGAGGGGCGAGGGATAATAACTTAATATATCATCTTAAATCCTTACAGCCTTTCCAGATAGAGGTAGTATTTATAATAACTTTTCTGGAGGAAACAGGCTCCACGAAATTAACTTGCCTAGGATCTAGCAAATGTTGGAACTGGGATTAAAATGTAATTAAAACCCTTGCTTTTCCCACATCATGCCATTTTTGTCAGGTACATTGGGAATCTTGACTTTGGTTTGGGAATAGGACTTCTGAGGTGGAAGAATAATATAAGATGGGGAAAGAGCAGTTGCTTCTTCAAGAAAATAAGCTGACAAAATTCTTCCCCAAGAGGTTAAATAATTTCCTCATGAGAAACCAACTAGGAAGCAGTGTGGCCTTACATTAGGAGCTTTGCCTCAACAGTCCTCATTTTTAAAATCCCTTCCTAATGCTAAAATACAGTCATTGTAATGTGGACTAGAAAAGACATTTCTGTAGTAATTCTTATACCTATTCCAACCAGAAATGAATCAAAATGACTTCATCAGGATCCTTTGGTAATACGCATTGGAATGGGATTTTACCTGTACCTGTTAATATCACTCTCAGGTAAACAGGGGGCCCTAAATAAGGTTAGTGGGGACTAAAAGGGAATTTCCAGACTTGTTCTCAATTTGAATAATATGAAGAGTCTTCAAAAACTTAATGGAAAGATTCGCATTATCTTTTAATTCCAGTTTTCCACCTTTTTGAAGTACCCTCATAGTGTAGCCAAAGGGATTCATAAAAAGTTACAGAACAGATAATGGGAAGGACAAATGGTTTTGTGTCCTGACTGGAAGCAGTTAAGATTATTGGATACATTAAACCATGTGCAGTTAGGTTATGTGGAGAGTTGTCAGTCAGATAGTTGCCTGTTTATACTGTAGGACAGGAGTAGCAATTATAATTCAAACTGCCATTAATTTGGACTATTGATGTAGTATCAACATAGACATTGAGGAGATAGTTGCCTCTCAAGGTATGGATACTCATCCATATTTTTGCCTTCATAGAGAAGGGTCGTACAAAAATAACTCGGGTATTCTTCATTCACAGTTTTTATTTCTTGCAATTAACTTGTCTTCAAAGTCCATTCGTCTTTTAAAAAATTAATTCTCCTTACAGTACAATCCACACCCCCACCCCACCCCCACCCCGCCCAAGGAAAGCAAACTGGGGAAGGAATAGTTTAGGTGGCAATTGAAATATGTTCTGTAGGTTCATAACAAAAACCTTCCCAACCCATCATCCTGTATGCATACAACAAAATGGCAGCACCTCATGTTCACCTGAATGAAGTCCGAAACTTCAGCCTTAGGCCAAAAGATGCAAGTGAATGCCATGAGAAAAACAAAATGCAAGCTTCATCACTGGTTTCCATTTACTTTCCACGGTATTTAGCACAGTCTTTAAACTCACTTGGGAAAGTCAAAAATAAGCAAATATATAAAGCAACATCTTGACCTGGCCAGTAGTAATAAATGAAACCAGAAATAATTTGGGCCAAAGAAATGAATTTGTTGTATGTTTTTCATTAAGTCTCCAGCACCTGAAGTGTAGCAAGTTCTAATACTGGGCTTCTAAAGGTATGTAGTTTTTCACACATATCTACTTCAAAGAATTTCTTCCACCGAAACACAGCACAAGGAAAAAATATTTTTGGAGGCACCAGAAGAGTACATGAACAGGTAAGTATATGCCGAAGCCTTATATGTGACCAAGATGGTACACTTCATATACAGAAGTAGTGAATGCTGTTAAAAGTGCTACTCACGAAAAGGACAGTCTGACATTAACACACAACTCAACTGCACTGCTAAATATGGTTGTCTTTATTTTCTTTTTCCTTGCCCAGCCCTATCTAAACATAAAATAAAACTACAGGACTGAAATTAACAACCCATTAAAATCAGCAATAAGTTATGAAAATCATAAAGCTTTTTTTTTTTTTTTTAAAGTACTTAAGGGTAGTTAAATTATTTAAAGTATACAAAGTCCAAACAGCCAGGAGTAAGGGCTCCAAGAAGGCTTCCCAGGGTAAGGGAGAGGGCCAGAGGGGAACCTTGGAGTTTGAAGACAAAGGGAACACATGACATCAAAGTGCAGGCTAGAAATTTCACTTAAAAGAAAATAACATTTCTGAAGATATTTATAAGAGTAATAGCACCTGCACAGTGGGATTATGAGGAAGGAGAGAGACTGCTCGTGGGAAAATGGAAGCAAATCTTTACATTAAAATGAGACAAGTGCTGAACTTAACTATGTTAACTATGATAGTGTGTCTACTATAGATATCAGATGGTTAAAAACTGGTAATGATTCTAAAAGGAAACAAAAACAGCATTGACCTTTTTCTACCTAGCCCAGACCTCATTCACTTTGTGCACTATAAAGAGTGAGGTGTGAGGTGTTTATCATTATCAAATGCTGCATCAAAATAGATGATTTTTTTTCCCATGTGTTTTTCCACTATAAAAGACATCTATTTTTTTTTTTTATGGACAAGCTTTAAAAAGATGTCATTTTGGTTTTCAACACATATAAACAGTTATCAAAATCTGAAATAAAAATGCTGCCGTGGCTCAGACCTTGGCCTGCTAATCTGCGTGCACAACTCTTCTGACCCATGCAGATACAGAGGCACGTGGAGCTTTCTCCTTCTGGTCCCCCAATCCACATTCATACACCTTGTGTAGAGGCTGTCGTGCATTGACTGCCCCCATGCGGCCCTAGGGGCTGCGGGCTGGTGAGTTGGCAGTTAGGTGCCCTAGTGCTAGCTAACAATGCAGGATAAGGTTAGCTTGCTTAGCATGGAATCCAACAGAAAGCTGAGCTGCATAATGATCCCTTTCAAAAGGCTTCATGGGAGTCTCCTTTTGCAGAGAATGAAATAAGCTTTTTTTTTTTTTTAAAGTATTGACCATCCACAGGCTTCAGGATAAACTATCCTAGGCTGAGTTTTAATAGCTCTTTAGCTATCCAAGATTAACGCCTGATGATCTTGTCTTTTCATTACTATAGGTTTGATTTTGTTTTTACCATAAAACTCAGGAAGGGTTCATTAACCCCATCCCTAAATGTTTCAACTCAATGTATATGAGCAAACTAGAAAAGAAAAAGAGCATGGAATCTCCAATGTCCTCTTTTAAATCAACGCAATCAAACCAAAATTTCACACAAGTTTTCTGCTGCCATTAGAAATTATGATTTTTTTCCAATATGAATATTATGAATATTTGTTCTGCTGGGGAGGCTGTGCCCCACTTTTTGCTAAGTATTTGCTTAAGTATGGGTCCCTCCCTGACCCTTCTGTTCAAGTATAGTTTTGTTTTGTTTAGTTTTAAAGGAGACTGCATCATGAACCCAATTTAAGAGACTGTTTGAATTGAATTGGCCCAGTGAATATTTTGCCCTGCACTGTTATGTCATGCTGGGTTCTAGGAAGTGAAAGAAAGTTTGACACTGGCACTGGAGTAACCCTCATCACTCCCAATACTCTGCAGGCTGCTGTGGTCATCAATGTCACTGATGCTGGTGGTACTTATATTGTCCACTTCTCCATGGGAGAACTCTGTGCTTTCAACATCCACTTCAATCTCCTCTGCCAAAGGAAAAAAAGGAAGAACATTAATCTAGTATATGTGTACCTTCAAAAACTAACAGGGCATGGGGAAAACTGTAAACAAAATGCTACACAACAAGCTTCTTATCTGTGATCTTTGGAGAACAGAGGAACTGAAGGTGAAGAGAGAGAGGAATATTTTTTGCAAAGGGAAATGTCTGGTATACAGTGGTGGTCTTAATTTAAGCCCCAAGTTTACTAAACCCTTTGACGCCAGTCCGTCTGGACCTCCCACTAAAAGCACTCAGCCTATTTGGGAATTAGTGCTTAATATTAAAAGTTCCCAACCCCAAGTAGTTTAACAACATCTGTTTTGCATTAAACCAAAAACTAATTCTCAGTGCTGTTTATTAATCAGGGTTAGCTTAGTGGGAAAATAATGCAATAAAGTTAATATAGGTGAACTAAAAAATTTATCCAGGTTGGTGGTACCATTCTATAGACAGTTCTACAGACTTCTAGGATTTATCATAAAGATATTTGACTATTCACTAACTAAAATAAGCCAGTCCGTATAAAATAGACTTTGAAGGAATTGTCTTTAATTTTCCTGTATCAAATATAGCTTGAAATAAGAGCCTAAAGCTTAATTAAAGTCTCTGGATTTTAGTGAGATCTATAGTAAAGATTACAGTAAAGGCATTTTGGTGGTGGAATTTAGCTTCAAAAACCAAACATTAAAAAAAACCCTAAACAAAATCAAGGTCCAGTGTTCAATCCCTGTATTGGTCAGCCATCAACAACAACAAAAAATCCTAAGTACACGTATGGCTCAGCTATCAATAGATAGCTTAATCATTAAATATTACATACACAATCACCAATAATATATAAAAAGCAATACATACCTTAAAAACAAAAGTAGTTAAAAATTGTTTCCCCCCATAAGAGCTAGAATGAAATTCAGGATTTTTCAGTTTTCTTAAAACATGCAAACTCAAAGCCTGATGTTTCATATTTGGCACTGACTTAAAGTGTTCACATTGATCACACTTGCTTTAGGAAAAGTGGATTCTTTCTGAGGCCAAAAAGTTAGGGTGAAGTTACTTCAGAGTATACTTTTCAAAAGGACTTGTTGCTTTAAAAGTTTTATAAATTTGTTTTCAAAATGCCGGCAGCTGTCCAAACTGTACAAATAATCTAATGAATTCATAAGTATTTGATTCACTTCCATAATGCTTCAGAAGCCATTCAATGTTTCCCACCATCACTGAACACTAATTCAACCTACAATTGGGAAATATCAAGGCACCCTCTCCAACAAAGCATGCTGAACTCAATCAAAACAAAGTAAAATTAGACTGCTCTAGCAAAGTGGACCAGAAATGTTACTAAAAGCCCCTGTAACACTGGGAAAAGGGGGTTGTCAGCTAAAGATAACAATGGTACTTGGTAAGGTACACTGAGAGCACTTAAAAAAATGAGAACTATAATGATCAAGATACACCCTCTCTGAAATTTGGAGGTAGGGGGATGGGTACAAGGAGGAGATAATACAAATGGCAGCTAAAGCCTGAAGACCTGACAAGTTCACACAGCAAGCAGTTGAAGAAAGACTAGGACCAAGTTCTGCCTCCTAATTCAGGGTTATTTCTGCTACACCTGACTGTCACTCATAAATGTAGCATGTCCTTGAGGTTGTTGCTACTGCCTCTAGCAGACTTTTCTTTGAAACTGAGTGCCACATAAAAAAAACCTTTTACACACAAAAAAAACCCCAAAAAACAAAAAACAAGGACTCCCAAGGTTGTGCTAAAAAGGGATCAAAAACCAATTTGAAAGGCTCCTACTCCCCAAATACAGGACAATTTGAGCATTAAAGATCATTTAAAAGAATGACTGCAATGGATTAGAACACAGTCAACACATAAAAACATGAGTTCAGAAGATAAACAGCAAAACAAAAACTTGTCACCTCTGGAAGTTGCTATGGCGCCAACTAGAAAAACTGATAAAGCAGAAAACCAAAACAAGCATTTATCTCACCTTCCCTGTATGAACTCTATTTCAGTATAACCAAAAAGTTGAGGAGGAAATGTTCTTTATAAAAGAAAAATAGGTAATAAACGCAAGAGGAATGACAATCAAAAAATCACTATTTTATAACACCTTATGAAATAATGATCAGGGCAATAACTGATTGCTAAAACTATTAAGTGAAAAGTTGATATATTTATATAAATGTATCAAGATGACATCACCTGAACCTACTGATTAATATCATTAAATGTGGGACAACTAGACACAATTTTGATGCAATAGCAAGTACAAAGCACGACCTATTAGGTATTTTTGCATCCACCAACCAGTTTACAGGAAATATGAGAGACAAGAACATGTTAAATGATATCATGAAGATTCAATCAGCCAAATTTAGAATGCAGGAAATTCTGTAAGAAAAATAACCCTATTTCTTGATGTTTAAAAATATGTATTTATGTATGTTTTTATATACATGCAAGCACACACACACATACTTGTATATTCATTCATGTTTTCTCTGACAAGTCTTTTTGAGAATGTCAGGTAGAAATCAAAAACTGATTTCTATTAAAATGGCACAGGAAAAAAAGTGGGGGAGGAAAAATTATTACAGATTAAAAGTATCGTAAAAGGCACAAACAATTGCAATGTATCCTGATTCAAGCATACCAATGGTAAATGCCATTTTTGAGACAACTGGAGAAAATGTATTACACACTGGGTATTAGATGACATTAAATAAGATTATCTGATTTTACTAGTTTTGTGGGGTATTATAATAGTATTATAACTATGCTTTTTAAATCCCGATAAATTTATATATAAGATACATAACTGAAGTATTTAGGGGTGAAATGATGTTATCTGGGATTTGATTTAAAACATTCCAGGAAAAAAACTGAGGGTAAAGGTGGTAGAGAATAGATGAAATAAGAATAACAGAATGTTGACCTCTGGATAGTGGGTACATGGGAGTTATTCATTATTCTTTCTACTTTTGTGTATGTTTGAAAATTTCCATTATAAAAAGTCAAAACAAGAAAACACAAAATCAGAGTCAAGTAAAAACAAACAAAAAACTGAATGTAACTTGTCTGACGTTTTAGAATCCTCAAGATCTCACTAGCTCTATTATCCCAAATATAAGGCTTAAAATCACTAGTGTTAGGGCCGGCCCATGGCTCACTTGGGAGAGTGTGGTGCTGATAACACGAAGGCCATGAGTTCAGATCCCTATATAGGGATGGCCAGTTAGCTCACTTGGGGGAGCGTGGTGCTGACAACACCAAGTCAAGGGTTAAGATCCTGCTACCTGCCCAGCCCATGGCTCACTCGGGAGAGTGTGGTGCTGATAAGACCAAGGCCACTGGTTCGGATCCCGTATAGGGATAGCTGGTTAGCTCACTGGGTGAGAGTGGTGGTGCTGACAACACCAAGTCAAAGGGTTAAAATCTCCTTATCGGTCATCTTTTAAAAAAAAAAAATCCCGTTACCAGTCATCTTTTAAAAAAAAAAAAAAATCACCAGTGTTCACCTCTGGGATCTTTTATTGTGGTGTGACACCTGAGGTGGTGGCAGCTATGGACGAACAGATCTGTAAAGTTCAAACTATTTATTTTTGGTTGATTTCCGCTCTCTAATTCTGCCAAAGATAAATGTTCTAGGACAGATGGAAGGAGAAATAAATGGTGTGGTACTCTAAAATATACACATAAAAACACCAAGGTCAAGGGTTCAGATCCCTAAATTGGCCAGCCGCCAAAAATAAATATATAAACCATACACGCACACATACATACATACAAAGATCAACGTCGCCAGTAATAAAACATATCATCACATATCTTCTTGACACAATGAAATGAGAACATCACTTCTGTGATATTTCTTGCCCCAAATGTATACTCTCAATCTAATCATTTAAAAATATCAGACAAATCCAAATTGAGGGACGCTGTATAAAATAATTGGCCAGTATTCTTCAAAAGTATTATGACCATAAAGAAAGCCTAAGCAACTATTTAATGCAATGTGGGATCCTGCATAGGACCCTGGACCAGAGAAAGGACATTAGTGGAAAAACTGGTTAAAATTTAAATAAGGTCTGTAGATTACTTAATAGTACGTTATTAGTGTTAATTTCCTGGTTTCAGTAATTGCATTATGATTATATAAAATGTTAACATTAGGGGAAGCTAGGTGAAGGGTATATGACAACTGTACAATTTTCTAGAGAAAACTTAAAAGTTTTCTGTACATCTACAATTATTTCAAAATAGAAAGTTAAAAATATATACATATATATTCAAGAAAAAAACAAAATAATTCTATAGTTCACACAGGCACTGCTAGGCAATGTGATTGCATAAAACCTAGAATTTTACAGTGTTGGCTAAAAGGAAGGAAATAAAGTGCCTCCCAACCTACTCTCCCCCTAAATCCAGATACAGAGATGCTTAGTATTTCATTAAAGAAGAGGCACACTGCCTACCTCGCTCTGAATCAGAACGATCTGAAGAAATAGTTGATCCAATGCTGTCCATTCGTATTCGTTCCATCTCCTGAGGACCCTGCAGCTGTTCCAGTCGCCGCTTTAGGAATCTCTGTTCTCGTTCCAAGTTCTCAAGCTGGTGCTGGCTCTTCCTTTCAGCTTCTTCAAGTTTCTAAAATGATAAAACAATATCCAGTGCAAATAATAAAACTGATTTCTACCTAAGATTTTTTCTTTAACAGAGAAAACATGAATTAATATATACATGTGAATATAAAAAATATATATATATAAGTATTTTTTAAACATCAAAAAGAATTTTCTTTACTTTTGTGTGTGTGTAATGAATGCCACATTACTTGAACAAAATGGAATTCCAAAAGTCTGTAAAGTAATCTCTGCAAAAGAGAAACTTCCTCTACAGCGTGGTATTTAATGGAAAAATACTGAAGGACACAGCCAAATGAAGTCATCTCCACCAGAGGGCACAACTGCCTTTTTTCTAGGCATCAGGATGGTAATTGTTATTTTCCTAGCATTCCCAGTTCTTCAAATGGCCATAATGTCAAAACAATTGTTTTAATCAGGTTATGTTGCTCCCATCAGATGAGCTGGTAAGTTTTTAGAAAGATTTCTCTTGAGGTCAATTATTAAGGAAGGCACGGTGAGCTAGCTGATGTGTATGAATATATGTATACGAATCACTGCTAATAATTAAACCAGGATCAAGAGAATCATGTACAAATCTGAAAGTAAAAACTCTCACCTTAATGTGTGCTTTGGCTTTGTTGAGCAAACCGAGTGTTGTGTGCCTGGTGCAGTCTGGTCCTAGTGGAATCAAAACTTTTAAGCGTTCTAAACACAGGCGCAGATGAGCTCGTCTAAGAAAGCCAAAAAAAAAAAAAAAAAAAAAACCAAACACTGCTAATAATTAAACCAGGATCAAGAGAATCATGTACAAATCTGAAAGTAAAAACTCTCACCTTAATGTGTGCTTTGGCTTTGTTGAGCAAACCGAGTGTTGTGTGCCTGGTGCAGTCTGGTCCTAGTGGAATCAAAACTTTTAAGCGTTCTAAACACAGGCGCAGATGAGCTCGTCTAAGAAAGCCAAAAAAAAAAAAAAAAAAAAACCGGTCAAATCAGTATAGCCTGGATATTCAACTAGAAACAGCATAAAACCTATTATAAGACAAATAATAATCGCTTCTTGGCCTTTTGGCTAAGAGCAAGTGTAAGACAAATAATAATTTGCAATTATTCAGCCTACAACCAAGTTACCCCCCTAATTCTTCAAAATTTCTGCAAGTGTAAGGGTGCCTACGTTTACGTCTGCCATTTCTGTTATACTCTATACATACATACATTGCAGATTATTATCGCCAATGGTCAGATGTCAGAGATGGTTTATTTTTTGTCCTACCCCATAAACTGTCTCAACTGTGTTAATATGTAAGTGCAAAAACATACTAGGGTAATTGTATTTGATCTTAATGCCTAAAACCACAGGCTAGGGTAGGGATTTTCAGCTGTGGTACCCCGCCAGGATACAAAATGCTCACAAGTTTCCATTTTCTTCCTCTCACCTTTATTCCACACATTCACATCTACCTCTCTGCAACTGTAGCCATCCTACAGTGTGTTACATGTTATTATGTATTAGATTAAACCATATGAAATTTCTAATATTCAGCCATTTCCCATTTATAAAAATGGCAATTTCATATGATCGAACAAAACAGAAACAGCAAAATTTTGTGCCAGCTAGGATAGGGTTAGACAAAATATATGCCCTGTGGACAATTCTAGCTACTGAAATAACAACCCATAGAATAGTCCCTTGCTTCCTATCTAAGCATGCCAGCGCATTAGCTTAATTTTTATTTCTTTTTCTTTCTCTCTCTGTACTCACCTCCAATTTTCTACACAAGGAAAACAAGTAACAAGATTCTTTACTGAAAATCACTGCATTCTCTAATCCACCCATCCTGTGGGGATGTTAGGGGAAATTTTTCTTGGAAATGCTATCAGAGAGGCTCATGGATCTACCTTCCCTGTGTTCTAAAAGGAACTATGATCATGGTGATGAGAATGAATTCTGAGTACATAATTTCATCCTAAAACAATACTAGTCCACATCTTCAGTCCTGTGCTTCATAAGGCATAATATAATGCGGCATTAACAGTACATCAGAAAAGAAATCCACAAATGCATTCAGTTTACCCCTCCTTAAAGAACTATAACTAAAGGTTTAGCAACTTGTCTCAAGTGCACCAGGACCAAAAACACACCATCTGTTTTCTTCTCAGAGAGGGCCAAAATGGTTTTACTAGTTCATCCACCAAACTATGCTTTCTCTGTCTTAATACACAAGAAATAATGTCAAGTGAAATGCTCAAATACTAGCAATTTGAAAGAGGGATAGGAGAAGGTGAGAGGCAGCCAATTATGTCACTGACAAGCAAGGATAATTAAGGCTAGTGAGATCAGAGGTTTGGCTGATGAACTGTCAAGATTCGTTTAGCACTCACTAGCCCAGATATAGTTAAAGGTCTGTTAGTATTTCCCTTCCATATCTCTTTATTGAGTTCAATACCTCAAGTCGAACAATTGGCTCCAGGCTGAAATCTGACATACCTAACGTGAATGAAGGAATGTTTTTATTTTCCCTAAGTTAAAGACATATTAATAAATTCCCCTTAATGATATTTAACAATTTTAAAGTCACTCTTCTCCCCTGCTGTGCTACCTAAATTTATAAAACCTTTAGCAAAATTTTCAATTTTTTCATTTTTATTTTTTAATTTGACATATACTGATTGAACATATTCAAGGGGTACAGAATTATATTTCAACACATGTATACTATGTGTAATGACCAAATCGTGGTAATTAGCATATCTGTCATCACAAAAATTTATCATTTCTCTTCTAGCCATTTGAGAACATACAAAAAAGTTATTGTTAATTATAGACGCCTGGCACTACTACAGACCACTAGAACTTATTTTTCCTATCTAGCTGTGATTTTGTATCCAGTTAACCAACCTCTCCCTATGCCCCTCCCCCTCCCGACATCTAGTAACCACAATTTTACTCTCTTCTTCTAGAAGCTTAACATTTTTTTTTTCTTTAGCTTCTACATATGAGTAAGAACATGCTATATCTATCTTTCACTTATAATGTTTTCCAGGCTTATCCATGTTGCCGCAAATGACTGGAGTTCATTCCTTTTTATGGCTGAGTAGTATTCCATTTTGTATATATTCCACATTTTCTTTATCCATTCATCTGGTAACCAACACCTAGATTGATTCCATATCTTGGCTACTGTGAATAGTGCTGCAATAAACATGGGGGTGCAAATATCTCTTCAGTATACTAATTTTCTTTTCTTTGGATAAATACCCAGCAGTGGGATTGCTGGATCATATGGTAGTTCTATATTTAGTTTTTTGAGGAATCACCATACTATTTTCCATAATGGCTGTACTAATTGACATTCCCACCAACAGTTTATAAGGGTTCCCTTGTAGAGTTAACAATATTTAACAATTTTGAAGTCACTCCTCTCCTGTTGTGCTACCTAAAATTATACAACCTTTAGCAAAATTTTCATTTTTAACTGGAAAATATCTTAGATGAGGAATCTCACATGATCAGAGTGCTCTTGCTAAGCAGACAAAAAACAGAAATTAAAAAAGAACAGGGTAAAAATTGCCTTTAAATTCTGAATTAGGATTACTATGGCATATGCCTAACAACTGCACTCATGATATAACTGGAGGGTGGAGAGAGAGACTGGCAGTTCTCTTGCTAATAATTACAGGCTCTGGCTCTGAATTCAGTCTTTTAAAAGAGTGAACAAAGCAACTAGTAAAGTTAAGTACATTACCACAAGAATAGCTTGTCAATTTTGTTCAACTCCAGAAATTCAGTACATAAATTATTTTTTACTTTTCAGTTTAAGAAACTTTGAAATGATTCCCTACTATAAATTTCACATCATGGAAGAAAAGGGTGGGTCAATTTTCTGTCTTGTGAGACTTACCAAAACCTAGGTTGAAAATAAGTAACATAATATTAAAATGTCTTTTCTCTCTCTTTTAAAAAAATCATTCAGTCATGTATTTATTACGTGACTTTTGTGTACTCAGCACTCTTCCAAATTCTTGCTTGAGCAGGAAAAGTAAAAAAGAAATGTAAATTTTAAGAGTTTATAATATAGACTACAGAACAAAACATACTGTTTTGTTTCATTTGGTTTATACTGAAATAAATCATACAAATATCAAGGGCAACAGATTAACTGGAGGAGGTAGACCTGTCAAAGAGGTTGAAACTTAACTTTGGACTTGAAGGAGATTGAATTTGTCTATGAAAAAGCAAAGATTTCCCATTATTAAAAGAAGAGCGAAAGATCTAAATTTATAGATTGTGAACAAGTTTAAACTTGAAATTAAAAATACCTTAGTTTCTTTCATTCAAGGGAAAACAACGGAACAAGGAAATATCAGCTAAATTCAACAGTGTGGGGATCTGCAATAGCACTATCAAATCAGAAGTACCTAAACCAAAGGATTCAGGTTTGAATAATGCCTAAATGAACAGAGAAGGCAGAATGCTCTCTAAAACGTTTCTTAAAAAGCCATCACTGACTTTAATTACAAATCTGTTCCAAGATACAGCTTAGACCAAGAAAACATATCTTGAGATATAATGTCTCACAAAGGCCAGTGATAGATACCATTCTCCATGTTTTGTAAATACAGTCCTCTAAAATAGATATTAGTATGAAGGATAAGCAGTGAATGATGTTCTCTGCTCCCCTGTGGGGAATGGTGTATCTATGTGAGCTAAATGTCATTTCCTCCAGTATTTTTTTTTTTTTACTTGTAAATGAAACAGGCATTGGAGAGAATAAAAAAAGGTTAACAGCAGTTGACCAAGGGGGAGCCACACTTTTCAAAATCTCATCCAAATGATGCACGTGGTTTTCATGTGTGCTTTTATACTACTTAGGTGTGCTTCCAAGAGCAATGGATATCCTGTGACTATAAACTGGAAAGAGTCAAGTTAAATCAGAAAATCAGTTCTCCTCGATGTGTTAAGTTTTTTCTCTCCAGCAAATTCTTAGAACAAGAACTGTATAGCAAAATTCTTCTTCCCTTACAATGGTGCTGCTCTCCACCCTTTCCCTCATAGTCTCCTTGTTGGTAACCAGATTGTAAGCTTAACCACCAACGACCTAGAAAGGCATATCTTTTTATGCCATCTGGTCCCTTTCTTTTTTTGCCTTCATTCTCATGTGACTGATGGCTCAGGAGCCTCCTGTATGGGGTTGCCAAATCATGGGCTGTAAGACTTTGGGGGGAAAAAAGAGGACAAGAGACAGAATAAAATGGCTTGGTTTGATCTGAAAATGCTTATTCACTGAGAAAAAATTTGCAAGGATGATATGATGATGTTTTTCAAGTCTCCAAGGAATAGAAGAGCTGACATACAGAATAAGGATTCATGAAAGGCTAGTGCTGCACCTCTATTCAAAGTAGGGAAAGAAGTTCAGGAAAGTTAAGGCCACTGGTTCTGAATACTATGATGAGCACTAGACAATTAGCAAGTAGAAAAATCCTGACATAAAATTTATCAAACTAGACTTGATGGAAAATGATAAAAAAAAAAATTAGACCCATTTACTTAACTTTTATTTAACACATAGACACTTTTTCTAAACACATGGATAGCCCAATTAAAACTATGATGCTGAAATATTTCCTATTTTGCATAAGTGATAGTAAAGCAAAGTTAGGATCAGACACTGCAGCAGGATGTGCACCCTGTGAGAAAATTGGAGTCTCCTTGCTGAGAGGGAGGGGGGCACACAATGGAGAGATACCAGTGCACTTTTATTTTCAAAGACACTTCGAGGTCTGTTTTAAAATGGGATTTAAAAGTGGGTTTTACCTAGGGGAAAAGGCAATTCCCAGCCTCTAACCCTGTTAGAGAGAAGGTCCTATCAAAATTCCCCACACCTCCAAAAAGCTCAAGCCCCTTGTGGTTTGAAAAAGAACAATTAAGAGTCTGTTTGGCTTTTACTTTG